GAAAAGCCGAGAGATTGAAAATGAGCAAACGCCTTCGCCGGGAAACGAACCACGGACCTCTAGAATACCGGCCCAGCGTGCAGAACCACTACACCACGAAGACACGCTAGGAAGTCGGGAGAAATACCTTATAACCTTACGTTACATTATACCCTAAAGAGACTATTCGCATGTTTTTTAGACGTTTTTACTTTCCTATAAAATTTTAACTGCTTGGAATTTTTTTAACTACAGCTACATTTGTGAAAGTATAAATTATCATCTGCTACTTCAGAGTTTTTGTTCGATGCAAAATGTAGCTTTTGAAGAAGAATGGATAGAACGCTATGCCTGTGCTCTTTCTGAACAAAATTATTATCTAATTATTAAAAAACGCTGTGAAAGCCGTAACTTTTTCATATATAAAGCTACGGTTATAAGGTATTTCTCCTGCCTTCTTAGCGTGCCTTCGTAGTGTAGTGGTCTGCACGCTGGGCGCGTATTCCAGAGGTCCGTGGTTCGATTCCCAGTGAAGACGTTGCTTATTTTTCACGTCTCCTGCTTCCAAAATATACCTAATATCTCTGCACGGTAAGTTATACTATCAACAAGAAAGTAAACAAACGTCAAAATTTGTTTCCAAGTGAAATAACTGTTCCACATGCAGAGACCGCTTGCACATATTTTAAAGAAATTTCATTGTATTTAAGGAAATATTTTACCTAAAATTTTTGTATTTTATATATTCAGTTTCATAACCCTCGTTCTTTACTTTCTTCTTGTACCATACATCCAAAGCATTTTTACTTCCTTGTACGAAGTAAAGAGGAAGTATTGTTATCGTAAAAAGTTTCAGGCAGCGTATTTCAACGAAAATATCCATTTATACCGCTATCGAATGCAATTTAATGATGTTTTTGCGTGGCATCTGTACGTAAGGACAAAATAAAAGACTCTTTTCCTCCAAAAAAATTATAAAACTGCTTTAAAATAAATTCTGAAGAGAAATTTTCGTGGCGTCTCTACGTACGTAGGTACGTATCTCGTATAACGCAAAAACGAATAGCCTCACAACGTTGAAATTTTGTATATAGAACTGCTATAACATGCCAGATCTGCACATTGTATTTTGGTTGCAATCGGCCGCACCAAACATATATATATATATATATATATATCCACTCTGTTACTCGGCTCAGTGAACTCTTATATGTTTGTAAACCGTGCATTTTTTTGCTTTAAAAATGTTTGAATTATGTTGTTCTTATTTTTTGGTTAAGGTTTTTATGCCTTTAGTAAATTTGCAAGCAATATTTGTACAATTATCAACAATTTAAAAAGCTGTCAAGTGCGGTTCAGCCTAATTTTTAAATAACATGGCGGACATCTTTCTTTACATTTGAAACAGCTGAATAGTAGATTTGTTGCCAATCTGGAGAGACTAAGCTTCGAAACAACAAAAATAACGCCTTCATTTATTATTGCGAATTAAATCATGCTTAATCCTTTCTGGAATTTTTTCGAGGAAATAAGTGTTTGAAGATTTACTTCGCAATTTTTAATATACATATTTTGCGTTTTTATGTATTTTTGTCTTGTCGCGAAGTGAGAAATGAATTAATTAAGTAAGAAATACTAAATCGTCTGTGAAAATCTGTTTCTTTTTTGTTTTGTTTGCTTAATTTCTTGTATACTTCCTCCTAGCTTTATTATAGTGTTTGAATAGAACATGTGGCAACGATTAGATAATTCTTCAAATGATATAAATTTTGTGCATTCTGAGTTATAATATGAACGAAATATGACGCTGTTAAGTGAACTTAGCGCCAGAGTGTCGCTATGGTAAACAAATAGAGTGAATTTTAAAGAGTGTATTTATTCTATTGTGGTTTATGCTATCGACGAAGTAGATTTAATTCAATACAATAATTTTAAATGAAATGCAAGAAAAAATGCGTATAATTTAATATTCCGATGGTGCACACATCAGATTTTTTAGTTTCAAAAGAGTAATTTTATCTTATTCCTCTTGAACAGCTTTTAGAAGTCCGAGGAGGTTATAGGTCGACGTTTGGACAATCCTCCTTTTAAAAGCTCAAAAGCACAAAATTCTATGAGTGATACATCAGGAGATTGAGTAGGGATACAAATGAAGGGTATGGCCTTCATACACCTTTTTGTCCTATTTTTTTCCTAGGAATTTAAAAATGGATTTTGAGAAGTGGCTGCTTGCTTTATCTTGATATAGTTCTACTGATTGATGGCATTGTGGGTAAAGACAAGGTATTGCATATTTGAAAGCTGCTTGCTTTATTTTGATATAGTTCTACTGATTGATGGCATTGTGTGTAAAGACAAGGTATTGCATATTTGAAAGCTGCTTGCTTTATCTTGATATGGTTCTACTGATTGATGGCATTGTGGGTAAAGACAAGATATTGCATGTTTGAAAGCTGGTTATAAGATATGTTCCTGAGATTATGTGGCGTTTATGTTAACATTTTTCTCCAGTCTTTTTATTTTGAATTTGCCGTTATATGAAATACAGTAACCATCATAAATCCCTCTGAAAATCGTTCTTTAGATTCTTTTAACCATGTTTTAAGATTTTTTATCCTCTTTGATGTCAATAAATGGATTTCGTTATATTTCAGTCAGTTAATTACATCCAAGATTTGTCTATTCTGATTATGTTTTTCCATTTTTGTTCACATAAATGTTGCTCATAAATAATTCTGCCGCCCATTCTGCGTTCGGTGGTATGTCGTAGAGAAAGACGATGCGTGTTATGTCGTTTCGCCTTTTTAAAGTCCTACTATCAGCTGACACTTTCCCTATATATTGTTCAAATTTTCAGTCGTTAATAAAATGCTTTTTATTCATCCATTCAAGTTCAAATAAAAAATTTTTACACTTGTATTGGATGACACTTAATTTTAATATAGTTTTATCACATATTAAAATTTCTTTTTGTATTTATTTTTTTTTTTTTTAGTATTTTTTAAATTTTTCTTTGTTGGCCTAATTAATTAATTAGTATTCAATCGTTAATAAAATACTTTTAATTTATCCACTGAAGTTCAAATATATTTTTTTTAACTTGTAGTGGATGACACTTGATGTTAATTCAGTTTTTCACGTATTAAAATATTTTTTAATTTTTGTTTTAAAAATTTGTTTTTGTATTTTAAATTTATTTTTTTATTTTTCTTTTGTTGACCTAAGTAGGAACTGTAAAATGTTTTTATTTAATGAATTATTAATTAATTAATATTCAATCGTTTAATAAAATACTTTTTATTCATCCACTCAGTTCAAATACATTTTTAAACTTGTAGTGGATGACACTTGATGTTAATTAATTTTTTTTTCACGTATTAATTTTTTTTAATTTTAGTTTCAAAAATTTGTTTTTGTATTTTTAATTTTTTTTATATTAAAAATTTTTTCTTTGTTGATCTATGTAGAAATTGACTTTTAATGTTTTTTATTTAAATAATTATTAATTAATTAATTTTCAATCGTTAATAAATACTTTTTAATCATCCACTCAAGTTCACATACATTTTTTTTTAATTTGTAGTGGATGACACTTGATATTAATGCAGTTTTTTCATATATTAACAGTTTTTTTTTTTATTTTTCTTTGTTGACTTAAGTAGGAATTGACTTTAAAAAAGCTTGTTTCATATTACTTGTTAAGATTCAAATCAGTATTAATGACTTTCTTCCCAATTGATACTGAACATTTTAATGGTTTTGTTATTGCAACTGTCTTTTGACTTGGTGGACTTCCTTTTCTACATTAAGGGGTGTTGGAACCCCAAAATCTTCAAAAAATTGTGATGTCGGATTTTTGCATTTTCATATTCTCTACACTTTTATCTTTCTAAAAATACCATTCTTTAATCTCTATGAAAATTAGAACTGTAAAAAAATCTAGTTCTAATTTGTCATCTACTGCTTTGATCAATGAGGATTTTTACATAAAAACGCGTTTTTCTCCAAACTTGATTTTTTACACTCGATGTACCTCTTCTCAGGAACTACTGCTCACAGGTATCTAAACTTTTTATGGCTTATTTATTAGGTTCCCTAATATTTACTGAAATGAGCATTTTGTAATAAACTTAGACAAAAAAAAATTTTAATTTTTTTGTGTGAGAAAAGTGCTAAATTTTAAATTCAAATTGCTTCAAAAGCTCATTTCAGTATAATCAGATAGGTATACTTTAATTACAGAAAAAATTTCAAGCTTGTATCTACAGCAGATTTTGAGAAAAGGTACATCGAAAATGGCCAATTTAACATTGTCGGTATAGGGGTTTCTGACACTCCTTAAAGACCTTACCTTTATTAACATTTGAAACATTCCTTTTTTTTTTTTTTTTTTTTTTTTTTTGTTGTTGTTGTTGTTGTTGTTTTGGATACATATTTAGAACGATTTTCCCTCTTGAATCCAAACTTTGAGTTTTTTCTTTCTTGTTGATTATATTACCTATAGTACCTTTAGATGTCTAAAACCCGTGATTTCACGGCGTTTTCTAATGACAGGATACTAATAACGTTCTTCGAAAATGGCACAAACATGGCCTTCCATCCACTGCTTCTTTAAAGGCACCATTTTGTACGAACGAAAACTGCTAAGTAGCAGGCGATAACTTTTACTTTCAAGATATATATTTCAAGATATATAAGGTATTTCTCCCGCCTTCTTGATATGCCTTCGTGGTGTGGTGGTCTACACGCTGGTCGCGTATTCCAGAGGTCCATGGTTTGATTCCCGACGAAGGTGTTGCTCATTTTTCAAGACTCCTGCTTCCAAAAAATACCTAATGTCTATACAAGTTGCAGTTAAGAAAAATTTCCAAGCAGACGACATTTTCCCCTAGCAAAGCAAACTCGTCTGAAAATTGTGCGAAAACCCTCTATACTTACTTGATGATGTCTACTTACTCGTTCCGATTTGCTGACGCTTTCAAAACAGTTAATACATTTCTTTTTCTTGTTTCGTTTTATAGCTGGACCATTATATGTAATTGTAGAATACGCTGAACATGGATCATTAATTACTTACTTGAGAAAAATGAGGGCCCGTTATCCAGAAGTTAGAGGAGACATGAAAGAACTTTTATCTTTTGCTTGGCAAATCGCTAAAGGAATGGATTATCTAGCAGAAATGAAGGTAAGTTCTCGGTTACTAGATAAATGAACTATGTATCGGCAATAAATTATACTCGTAGTTTGAGTTATAAACTACGCATCATATTATATTATCAGTTTGTTAGATTCATAATTTAAATATCAGGTAATTTAAAATTATTAGTAATTTCACTCAATAATTGAAAAATTTAATTTAATTTAGTATGCTGTTTCTTAACAAGCATTGTACTCTGAAATTTTGTAAAACTCAGTGATGTAAAATTTAGTTAACTTCTGAAAGAACTACATCTCTGGTACACCTTATTGTAATAATAGAGGGTTATTTCACCTTTCTTACTTGTTGTTTTCTGTCCCACGAGCGAACTCAAGCGATTATTCCCTTATCAGTTCTTAAGATTCTTCACAGTCAACTGTAAAGTACACAGTACAGAATCTTACATGTTAAACAGACTTATAATTCCCATATTATTAAAATACGCATCATTTACGCGTTTAATATCTTTCTAGCTAATGTATCTGAAATATTTTCCAGCAAAGTTTATAAAAATTATATTATCTTCCAAAAAAACGGGAATTTATCATTTCGGTAGTATTTTGTCCTGCAAAAAGTTAATTTCAATGACATTTTGCAGGGTACTGAATGGATCAATATAAAAGATTTAATCAAACTTCTTTTTGTAAGAATTTTGTACTTAATGCTTTTTGTGATCGAACACAGCTGCCTAAAGTAAACTCAAGAATTTAATTATGATTATGAATTTAATTAATCCAAACGGGCCTTGTCCCTGAAGGACTATTGTTTCCGTTTTGCGATTTTGCGTCGAATCAATCTGAATGTCCGTTTCACTCTTAAAACTGTTGCTAAATATTATCGCCCTATATTATATTTAAAAAAATTAAACAATGAAGAACCTACATAAATGTATGTATGTATGTTCCTCGCATTGAGATAAAACAATGGTACCTAGAACTCTTAAAATTTAAATAACATAATCTTCCTTAGAATATGGGCATTTGAAATTTGGAATTTGTTTTATTATCGATTTCATGTTTTGTAAAACTTGAACGAATTTTTGATTAACGAATTTTTAACTTATTATTATTATTTTTTTGATTAACTCATTTTTGATTTTGACTAAGTCAAGGATTTCAAAGCGAGTAATTGCAACGTTGTACAGAAAGAACATTTTTATCTCCAGCGCGTGAGACTGTGTATCGTAAATTCTAAAGATACGCTCAATTTAAAATTATTTTGCGATATTGCTCATGAAGTGAATTTGATGATTTAAATGCAAAGAACATTATATTTAATAAATAAAGATAGTACACAAAAATTTTAAAAAGTCCCTTTGGACGTAATTTTAAATTTGAAACCCTTCAGATTTTCTTTTTTTATTATGGTGTAGTTATGAGCTCACACATGTTCTTTAATTTCTTAATGTTAATAAATTATTAAATTATTAGTTTCAATGTCCACAATGAACACATTGTTTGACATCATGTCATATTTCTTTCGACTGCTTGACACGTTGTTATAGTTCTTTCGTATTGTTTGACAACGTAGTATACTTCTTTATTTATTTGTTGCTAACTGTAAATACAGTAAGACCCCGCTTAACGCTGTTTCGTTTAGCGCTGTTTCGGTTTAGCGCTCTTTTATTTCAACCCGGGGATTCCACGAAATCGCTCGCAGCATAAGGGGATTCCCCGAAATATTATGCAGCGATAGGTTTCAAATACATATCCGAAAGAGTGTACTTGTATTTCTTGTTTGGTGCGGTATTGTACAGACATATTTTTATTATTGAAAACATTTGTTGACATTATTGTAAGTATTAATTTACATATTTAATACTATATTACAGTGTCAAATATTTTGATCTTTAGTTTTTTACTATGGGTGATAATGAAAAAAAAAAGAAAGCAACCAGAAAAAAGCATTTCACTCAAAACTAAAAAAATGGAAGTGATTAGAAGATTAGATTCTGGTGAACGTCAAACTCTAATTAGTGCTTCATTGAATTTGCCAACTTCAACAATAAGGACCATCATGAAGAATAAAGAAAAAATACTGTCATCGGCAACTGCAACTACGTCAAGCTCTGCAACTAGAATACCCGTTCTAGAAATAATATCATAGAGGAAAAAGAAAAAAACGACTGTCTATATGGATTGACGGACGAAATTGAACCGCAATATGCCATTAAGCCAATCTATCATAATGGAAAAAGCTGGAAGAATTTTTAATTACATTCAGGCTGAGGACAATTGACAAAAGTGAAACTTTCGTTGCTAGTCGAGGATGGTTTAATAGATAATAATAATAGAAATAATAATGTGGTATTAATTTGGGCTTTAAGAAATACATGTTTGGTTGTATTTTTATTTTATTTTTATTAAAAAAACATACTTTTTAAATTTAATACCTAACCAATTTCCTAGCCATCTTCCCCTAACCCCAATATTTACATGTAAAGATAGCCTCGTTTAGCGCTGTTTCGCATTGCGCTCTACTTTGATGGAACGTATCCCCCGCGTTAAGCGGGGTCTTACTGTATCTTTTTATGGTAAAATCTCTTTTTCTTATTGTATTTAAAAAAAATGCGAGTAGAGAAGTTTTTAATAAGTCTAGAAAGAAATATAATTTAATAGTCTAGAAGTCTAGAAAAAAATATAATTTAATGTAGTCTAGAAAGAAGTCTAAAAGAAATTCTTGAAGTCTAGAAACAAATATACCTTAATGTAGAAAATTTTGTTGTAAAATACCAGTGCTAATTTTAATACATTACGCAAAGCAGAAAGATATTTTATCCAAGTTTAATCATTTCACATACAGATGCACAGATAAATTACAATAATGTGTTTGTTAATATTAAATTTTTCACCAGGTTGTGCACCGTGATTTAGCAGCTAGGAATGTTTTAGTGGCAACCGGGAAAGTTATGAAGATTTCAGACTTTGGACTCAGCAGAGATGTTTACGAAGGAGACACATATCTGAAGGCCACAAGAGTAAGCATTTTGTTTTTCGAACCTCTCACGTTCTTAAACTTTATTTGGAGTTGAAACTTTATCGTCATTGCGATACATCTAGTATTAAAAATAATGAAGAATATATATGTGTATGTATTTATATGTTCCTCCTGCTGTGAAAAAATGGCGGACATGCTGCCACCAGATTTTCAACGTTCGTAATCTTCCTTCCACCTGAACATGTGCAATTTGAAGACGGAATTTTGAATTGCGATTTGGTTTTATTTCGTGTTTTGTATAATTTAACTGAACGTTTATTAAGATTAAACCTGTTTTTATTTTTTAATATCAATTAGATTTTTATTACGGTATTAGTTATATTTTAATTTAAAAAGTCTGTGTTACCACACACTGTTTTATGTTCTTTATGTTTTCTATCCGGGATATATGTTTTTCAGTAAAAACATATTTCAGAAAAACTGTATTTTTAGTAAAATTTCTTTAGCAAATAACTGTTAACAAAACTTCCACAAAATCTTGAACAATATTGTTGCGTGCGTACGGGTTCGTTATGAAATGAATGCACAAGTCCGATGAAAAATGAACAAAATTTATTATTATTACAACAAAAATGCTTCTCTTTCCTCAGATATTCGTGCAGTACTACAATATCTCACAGTCGTTATCTTTTAACTACTCAAACGTTCAAGAGAACTTAATTCAAAACAGCTAGAGACAGATAATCCGCGAATTCGCTACAGTCAACAAGAGCCGTTTTCTAAACAAACTCTTAAGACAACAACAAACTAACTAACTGAATTGAAATCGAAATCGAGTCAATGGTTAGGCGGCAATTAGTAGCCAACCGCTACTTAACCTTCTCTGTTGGTAAATTGCCCTAAGGCGTTGGTACTTAAGTTTTTATTAAGGCGATTTACGCCGCGCCAACTAGGCGAAACTTGTCAAATTTTGTGAAATTTTGAGACTCCGAGCAAAGCAGCTTACGCGTGCAATGAGAAATATTGGATATATTAATAATTATCAAGTTTTGAAACAGGTTATCCAGATTGGAATAATTAAACTAATATCGCGATCTAAATGAAGACAAATGGCACAACTAAGTGCAACAGATTAACTAAACAAAATATTCAAATTCATCCTTGCTGTAAAACACAGATTGGACAGTGGTAGTCAAGTGGGGGTCACCCTCCCGTGAACTGTCCATAGCCAATGCATCTTGAAATAGTAGATATCACAATTCAGGGAAGTCTTGGTCTGAGAAATTAAACACTAAAGTTCTTGTACAACACTGAGGCACATGAGTTACTGAAACTATACACTATGTACATATAGGGACGGCGGTATTTGAGCGAAGTAGCAAATGGTGAAAAACATTTTACACTAGCAATAAATAATCAGAGCTTTGAAGATCCAGGTACATAACAATAAGAAGATTATGAAAATGACAAATATAAGATCAGTGCTTTGAAGATCCAGGTACACGGATCATGTCCATAAGTCCACAATATTACGAAGTCTCTGATATAACAATAAGAAGATTACGATAAATAAAAATGACCAAATATAAGATCAGTGCTTTGAAGATCCAGGTACACGGATCATGTCCATAAAGTCCATAAAGTTTCAAAGACACTGGTAAAAATGACACAATGAAGATTAAAATAAAGATAATAGTACTATGTACAATATATACACATTTCACCATTTGCTGTTATGGAAGATGCCTCTTGGGCGCTTTGCTGCAATTTCTATAGTAGGATCATAATTTATCAGATCACGGATGTGTTCGTATTGAGAAAGTTCTATTTTAGCATAGAAATTGTGGCTCGTGGTGAGAATTTGATCAACTATGGGTCTTATTTTTAGTTCTTTATGTATCTGCAGGTTACGTACGAACCATGGGGAGTCAACAATTTGTCTGAGTATTTTGCTCTGAAAGACCTGTAGTTTGTGTCTATAAGTCTTGTACACAGTGGCCCAGATAGGCACTGCATAAAGTAGGGTGGGTCTTATTAAGCTGGTATAGATCTTCTTCTTGAGACTGATATTTAATTTAGCATTTCTTGTTATTAAAGGGTAAAGAGACATTTTAGCAGCGGTGGCCTCGCGCAAGGCATACTCCGTGTGTTCTTTGAATAACAGCTGTGAGTCGAAGAGCACTCCTAAATACTTGGTATTTGAAACAATTGCTAGGGCTTGATCATTAATTTTTATATTTACATTCACATGAGTGAACTTCCGATGACGTCTGAAAAGTAGAATTTGTCTCTTTGACGGATTTACTTTTAATTTCCATGAATCATAATAGTGTGCTATGATATTTACTGAGCTTTCAAGTTTATGTACAGCGAGCTGAGGGTTTTAGCGACTTGGTTAAAATTGCTGTGTCGTCGGCATATTTCACTACTTTGCATTCAAAGGAACCGGCATATCGTTCGTGTAGATATTAAACAGAAGCGGTCCCAGAACGCTTCCTTGAGCCACTCCGCTTTTAATTCTTTTCTTGAAGAGAGAGAGTCATTAATTTTTCCTGAAAGGTCCTGTTTTTAAGATAGCTTTTCATGAGCTTAATAAAACTGATAGGCAGATGAACAAGGTGCAGCTTGTAGAGGAGACCCTCATGCCACACCTTGTCAAATGCTTTTTCTAGATCTAGAAAAGCAGCTGGCGAATTGTGTTCTTTTTTTGCGAAGGAGTCTGCAATGAATTCTGTAACGTTCAGTAGTTGGTGCACGGTACTATGACCGGCTCTAAAACCAAACTGCTCTTTACATATAATTTTCTTATCCTCTAGATGTTGAGTTAATCTCTTTTGGAGCACACGCTCAAATACCTTTTCCAAACTGGGGAGAAGGCTGATCGGACGGTAGGAGTTTAAGTCCTTTGGGTTTTTCCCCGGCTTGACAACAAACGTAATTATCTGCGCGTGCTTCCACTGTTGCGGGAAAGTAATTGGAGCCTCATACAAGCATTGACTATGTTTGTAATGAGGACTATGTAGGTTCTTGGAAGAGCTTTGAAGAACCGTATTGGTGATGCTATCGTAGCCGGGAGCTTTCCTGGACTTTAAGTTGCTAATTATATTACTTATTTCTGTTGGAGAAGTTGGGTTGAAGTGATTATTACAATTTCTGTCAGCTAGGTGGTTAATGAAATTATCGAACTTCTTCATCTGTCTCTTCATTATTAGAGGCATGATTGGTGAAAGTCTTTTCTAGAGTGCTGCGCAAGGGCTTCAGCCATGTCATGTTCAGAACAAGCAATTCCACTACTGGTGTGGAGAGGACCAATATTTCTGTTATTAGTATTCCTTAAGGAATTTCCAATACGCCAGACTGTATCGGAGAGAAATCCATAGAGTCTAAGAAATCGTCCCAACAATTTGATCTGTACTCTAGGAGGAGGGTCTTGATGTTCCTAATTTTTTCTGTTCAGATTTCTTTTAACAGTGGAGTGGGATCGCCTGTTCTTCGCCAGATTTTTTGCTGTGCGGTTTTTGTCTTTTATTTTCTCAATGATTTGGTCGGGGAGCTTGTCTTTCTTATAATCTTTGAATTTGGTGGAATCATCAAGGGCTTTCTTATTTATTTTACTATTGATCTTAGTGATATTGTACTCAATGTCTACAATATCGGCAAGAGCCGGGTGTGCAGGTAATTGTTCCAGAGAATTATTGAATTTCTGCCAGTTTATAATTTTCCTTAAAGGCAAGGTCTTCTCAAAGCCATGGTAAGTAAATTTAACAGGGAGATGGTCAGAGGTTAATTGATTAATCACCTGTAGGAAAGAGATTTGCTGGATATTTTTTGTAATAACAATGTCGAGAACATCCGAGATGCCTGTGTGGTGATACCTTGTGGGTTCCGTAAGTCCAAAGATTCTTAAGTCATTGGTAAGAGCATATAGTTATAAAGAAAGTTACCATTTGCATTATTTCTTTGAGAGTTCCAGCTATGATGTTTAGAGTTAAGGTTCCCTGCTATAATAACTGGGAGAGTGATATTGTTAAAAATTTGCATATCACTGTTGGTGAGATTCTTTCTAGGGGAGTTATAAGCCAAGATGATGACGAGAGGCTCATTTGTGCGTGAATGCACAACGATCGCAGTGATTTCAATGTTACTTGCTATTGAGAATATTGAACTCGGTGGCATGCAAACGTCTTTTAATTAAAATCATAGTACCGCCGCCCTTATTATGGTCTCTGTCAGTCCCAAATGCGTTGTATCCATGGGTCTTGAACTTGTCATTAGGTCTTAGCCAAGTTTCATTCACAAGAAACGCATTAATATTATGGTGATTAAGGAAATTTGCAACTTCAACGTTCTTGTGGCGAATGCAGTTGGCTTTGAAAGACGCGAAGTTTAAACTGCTGGGCGCAGTGATGTGAGTTCTTAAATTACTGTTAATGTGATTAAAATTCGTAATTGAGGCTTGATAAAAGTTCAAAGGCTTCCCAGCCGACTTGGATTTTTCTTTCCAGTATTGATATAGATTTTAAGAACCGTTTCGAAGAGAGTTTTTCCCTGCAGGAATAATTTCTTCAGCCAAATTATGAAATCGGAAACGGAGCCTTGAGTTCTCACTTTCGACAGCTGCGTCCTGATTGGTGGAATGAAGCATTCTTTGCTCATTAACATTTTCACTGCTATTTTGAGCTATGTTTCTTCCTGGTAGACGCGGAAAATTTTCCATGTTGATATCAGGGGAATTATTTTTTGAAGTTTTTCGTGCTTCTTTTTCGGATTCTTTTGCTGCAATTTTTTCTTTTAATGCTGTCCGGGTGCATTTCGCAGCCACGGTACGAACTGACGTGGGACCTTCGCAGAGGCAACATTTCCCTGGTAGATTTCTGTCTTTAGTGTATGAAGTAGTAATATGGTTTTGTCGGCATTTTAAACACCTAGGTTTGTGTTTACAATGAGCTCGACTGTGGTCATACCTCTGGAAATGGTGACACTGTTTGTGTCCTGGAGTGGGTTTGAAGGGAGTAATTTTAACTGTCAAATCTAGAATATGCGTTATCTTGTATATTTTCTTGCCCTCTAGGCTGCCTTCTATGACCATTCTGCGTTTGACTTCAAACCATGAAAGTGGGTAGTTTGACAATTTCATTGTCTATTTTCTTCGTAACTTGTCTTACTGTTTTAAACCGGGATGTTATTATCTATTAGTTCTTCCATAATGTCCTCGGGTTTGGTGTGAACAGATAATTTTTTGATTACAACTCTTATCGGTTTATCCTGAGGGTAGAGGGAAAGGTATGGTAACGGAATTTCCTTTTCGGTCTAGGTATCTCGTGACTTCACGATACTCAGTGTCCGATTTAACTTTAATGTGGATATCACCACCTTTCTGTACACATTCCATGGATATGGTAAATTGCTTAATATTATCTCTGAGGGCTTTCCAGTCCGTGACATCTGAAATGATAATCCGCGGAATTCTGTTAGTCTTTTTGTTGGGAGTAATGAAATCACCTTCATTATTAGTACTGTCTTCTTGTGAGTTTTAGCGAACTAACATTTGTAGTGTCCATTTTTATCATCCTAGTTTTAGTGAAGCGTATTTATTTTTGGTTGACGTCATTGAAGCGTTCCTGCTTTCACTAAGTGTGCGTTTGTGGTAATTTTTTGGGTGTAATCCATTTTTCATTAATAATTATTTATTTTGCTTATTTCCTGAATAATATTTGAAACTGGTTTGGGTTGCTTTGTAGTTTGATTAGATGTCGAATCATTGCTAGTATTAACTAACGGGATGCTACCGCAGATATTTTGCACTGAATCTCCTGCAGTTTGTTTAATCGCTACACACTTCTCAAGCTCTGCATAGGTTTTTTGGAGCCATTGCTTCATTTCTGGGGTGATTTTCCGTAAGCCATTTCTAAGCGTGTTAAACGCTAAGTTAAATTCAGACACAATCTGCCTACAATCCTCAATCGTGCCATATTCAAGAATATTCTCAGCAATATCGCGCTTATTAAGGATTGCTAAATCATTTATCTCATCCATATTTACCAAGTCAAGCTATCCTATCGATGTACAAGACAATGCCCATAATGAAAGCGTAGAAATCAAAAATATACTCACGAACTTGTCCAGATGAGCTACTCCAAGTACACCTCTCGAAAGAGACCAACGAAAAATACTTACTATTTATAAATAAATTTCCTTCACTTCCTAAATTTTAGAATCACACTCGTAGAGCAAAGTAATAATACGAACGTAACTGAATTGAGAGGTTTTCCTCCTTTTTATAAGATTTTAAATCGCACGCGAGAATTTTCTGGAACTTTCTCGAAAAGAAAAAAAGAGATATTCATTTTTTAAATATTAAATGCACACGCTCTTGTATTATTAGTTTTCCGACTTAGCTTTCTTTTAACAGTCGTCACGCGCTGCACTGCACGGGAAATAAATCAATTTAATTTATAATTCTACTAACATTAGCTATTTAAATACCAAATCCGTAACAGTATCTTCACCATATCCGAAAGCGATAAATCAGTAAATCATATGTTGTTGCCCAGAGATTTGCTTACATATTTACTAAATGCAAGTAGAGAAATAAAGCATTTATTCGGTGTAAACAAGTTGATAAGAAAAAAAACGTTTCGTAACACGTTTAGGAATAGTTCATCTTTTCTACTTGAATTTATCTTCATTTTTGGAATTTAATATTGCTTTTTAAGCTTTTGCTTTTGCTTTGTATGTTTATCTAAAATTTTCATTACTGTATATTTGTATGAAATATATTAGAAACACTCTATGTATTCTACATATACATGATTATCCTTTGAAGATATTTTACCAAACTCATAAGTCTCAAACTGTAAATTCTAAACAAATTCGTAAAATATAAAAAAGCTTAAAATACCCAGTAATATATCGCATATGTCACATTTGACGCTCTTAACAAACAGAATTTTGCCATAATAGAAGAAACCAATGAAGAAATTTCAAATCAGAAAAGACAACGTTTTATTTCGCTTAGATTTAGACAAAAATCTTAATCGATTTCGAGGGCAAATATTTTTCGCTACAATTTCAGTGTTTCCGTAGGAATGTCTAGGTTTTTGAGAGATTTATTAAAATATGAAAAACTTGATAGTTGTTAAATTAAATTTCAGAGCCTTAAAATCTGGATCATTAGAATATGAGATTTGTAATTATTTTGTACAGACATGTCGACACGTCTGAACATTATTTCAAGTCTCTCTTCAGAACGAAATTGTCTAAACTCCAAATAATCCGCAATCATTGATAATAATATCAATTCTCAATCAGTCCTCAACATTTAAAACCAAACCGTCTAAAAGGTTTTTTGTTTGGTTTATTTAATTACGGCGAAGACAAGAAGGTTACCTGCCTTAGGAGAAGGATAATTTCATAGAGGGCATTCTAATGGAAACTGGCTCGCATGCAAATTACACATAGAGAAAACCACAAAAACACCCATGTAGCAAGCCCGTTCACTGGAATTCAACCCCAGACCGAACTACCAGTGTTTAACAACTGTACCGCTCGACCACTGGTGAGCAGTTCTAAAACAGTCAATGAAGAAAATGATGAAGATTTGAATCTTCGGATTGTGGTAACTTGGCGATTTTTTGGCGAAGCTTTGGTGACCAACCCTACTATAGCAACCTGCTAGTTTTTTTCCTTGGACGCCATTTTGTTTTCACGAAGTAAAGGCTACTCAACATTTTTTCCAACAATCTGCTAGCCGAATTACGCTTATGCTAGAACTTTTATGGAACAAAAGTGCTTAATCATGACGAAGATGAGGTGCGAAATTGGGAGAAAGTATAGAATCTCCCACTGCTTGCCGCGTTTTTAAGAATTGCATATACACGGTATCCATGTACACGTCGACCTATTTAAAAAAACATCCCAGAATTGCACAAAAATGGCATTGCGCACACTCTTGACTTTATCCATGTACACATCGACGTATTTCACTTAAAAAGTCAAAGAAAATTGACAAAAAACAATTATTTTGTAAAAAAGCGCCAAACAAATAAGTGGGCGATTCTGCACTTTAGCAGCGAAATTGTTTATAAGTGCTTATTAGCTAAAATCCCGATGGAAATTTTCCGGAAAATGTCACATTACATGTCTCATGATCTCTCATTTCTCTGAGACAAAATAATCCGTGATTCGAACTGTGTACTTCTCAGATTATTGCTAAAGTCCTAGCTAGTAACCTTTATCGCCTTACCAAAATGTCGCCAAACTACCTGTTACCATATTCTAAAGATTAGACGAAAACTAATTAAATTATTTGAAGAATGCCTATGTTAGCATAATTGCTGATATTGCCATAGTTGCTGTTATAATCAGAGAGAATTAATTAATTTTTCTATCGAAATTTTTATGTGAGCTCCCCATCACATCAGACTGAAAAATGTATGACTATGAATCGCATCTTTCGCATCCTCATTAGAGAATCGTTCTCTCTGTTGTTAAATACATTACTCTCAATAGAACTTAACTGGCATCGGGTACTTCCGCTGGTTAGATTTATAAAATTGCATGGCGGTCACAGATTTTATTATCTAGAGAAACACCAAATTAAACCTTTTAGAAGTTACTAGAAATTCCTAATATTTTAGTAGGTTTTTGATGTTTCATAACAATTATGAAAATTCAGAATTATATTTGAGTAATGTTTCAGCTTTCATGTGACAACTAATTTGTTTTTATTGGCACGTTAATTTCAGGGAAGAGTACCAGTGAAATGGATGGCTTTAGAATCTCTCCAAAGTCAACTATATACTACAAAAAGCGACGTGTGAGTATAAAACTTCTAATTAAAGTTACTTATGTATACTTAGCTTACTAGATGTTTTTTAAATATATTTAATAAGTACTTCCTCCAGCATATCAGTAATTACTCCTCCCTTATTTTGCAGATGGTCATATGGTATTTTACTATGGGAAATTGTTACTTTAGGTAATATGCAAATTTCTTTTCAACACATTATGTAATAGTTCATCTCAATATATGTATTTATATTTATATATATATATATACATTATATATATGTGTAAGATATAACAAAATATGATAGCTGTTTCAAAATATAATTGATGATCTCAAAATTAACATTCTAAATTTGATGATCTACCCCTAAATTCATCTCTTCTCAAAGGTTCCAGAGTTCTATTTTACGTAACGTTTTAATGCAGATACCTCTTGTCCAATCAAATTAATTCTAAACCAAAACTGTGAACTGAAACTTTCCCACTCCCAGCCTTCTTCCTATGAAAGTACTATAACCCTTTCCCTTTTCCGCGTTAGCTCTCCTGCTGGTAAGACGCTTTTCATCCATGCTGCTGCCGCTTACTTGCTTAAGATGACGTCGTACTTCAAAATGGGAATTATTCTATTCAAATATTATTAAGGAATATCTTGTCTGAAAAAGGATTATTTGATATGCATGGAAAAAATAAAGATTGTGATTTTTCAAGATATGTTGTGCTAAATTGCGTCATCATGCTTTCCACTCTGCCACCTTCAAGCCACTACGGTCTTCTCGATCATCTACGCAGTATCGTAAGCTGTTGGGAAGTCCACTGCTTTCATCTACGCTTTTAAAATCATTACATATATATAATAAATATAACTTCATTAATAACACATTAATAATATCATAATACAGAAGACAGAATAATACATTAATATAACATAAGACAATAATACATAATAATATTATTATGTATTATTAATAACATAATTATTAACCTATATTAGTTATTAATAACATAATACATAATAATACATTAATATAACTTCATTAATAATAATACATTATATATATATATAAATATAACTTTCCCTTGATAAGTCTGTCTCCTACCTGCTCAATAATCATTCAGTTATGAATTTTTTTAAATAATTTTTTAGGATTAAATAATTTTGGAATTTTATATTTATTGATGGATTTTTATACACACACTTGATTTACATATTCACTCAGAATTTTAAATGATATGTAGAATAGTTCGCAACAATAATTAAACATTTTTTTGTTTGCATTAAATTTCATTTAAATTTACTAGCTTTAATTTGCTTTTTACGAATAGAATGTTTGTTAAATTCATATATAATGTAATATATATATATATATATATATATTTCTGTTTATATATTGGATTGCTCGGAAAGTAATTTCGTTTTTCCCAACAGAGGACTTAATTGTATTTTTTCACAGCCAACTTCGCACTTCAAGCCACATAGTCATTATATATTTTGACAGCTAATATAGCAAGGCGATTTTGGAAAAAGTTCGATGGATTCTACGCAGTAGTTTCTGTTGGTTGTTTGGTGCCCTTTCATATATGGAAAGGTATAAACAGCATTTCGGGCGCATTTTGTGCTTTTTTTTAACTATTGAAAGATTAAAATACTGTCCAAGCAATAAAAAATTATCAGATGTGTAGGGCGAAAATGTATTGACAGAACGCTAGTGCCAAAACTGGGTTGAAAATTTTGATCCGGCAATTTTGATCTTGAAGATGCACCACGTTCTGGAAGGTCCGTTAAAGCTGAGGGATAGCTTAAGAACATGAGGAACCCTTTGTCGAGCTCTGAGATTAAATCTAGGTGTTTCAAATGACCATGAACGGTTAATTCATTTAATTTAATTTAATAGCGATCTGATTGTTATTCGCCGGTTTTCATCAATTAATTCCAGAATAAGGTGTATCTTTAAGATCAAAATTGCCAAATCGAAATTTTGCAAATCAGTTTTCGCACTGGCTTTCTGTCAGCACACATTCTCCATACACGTCGGATAATTTTTTTCTTGCTTGATCAGCATTTTAATCTTTTCGACAGTAAAAAGTAAAATATGCAGAAAATGCTGCTTTTCACTCTCTATATTTAACCACTTCACCGTCCTATAAAACTCACAGATATCTGCTACTTACCCCTCCCCCCTAAAATTATAACCTTTTTGCCTCTGAAATTGGTCTTAGTTTATGTTAGAAATATTTCTTCCCCGTTCCTAGTCTGTTATCTGAAAACTAACAAATATTTTCCCCAAAAGGCAGGCTTTAAAACGAGCAATAGTTTCCATTGCAATGTCAGCTGAAAGGGGGACGGAATTACATTCGTTTCTCCCACCTTTTCAAGTGAACTTTGCTTCACATGTTCCTGGTACAAGTCTGGTTTGAAGAACGCGAACCAATCCAATTAGAACCAATCTTTACTTTCAATTTTCGCCACATTCGGGGGGGTTGGAAAACAAGAATCGACGAATCTCTCTCTGGCGAAACGATCCAGGTCATATTCAAGCCAGACGAGGGTGTCTCGTTGCTGACGCCTGACGACACTTCACAAATTGACAAGTTTGTCTCGGGGAAAACGGTGAAGTGGTTAAAAGGGCGCCAAGCAGAACATACTGCTTAGCATCAATCGTACGTTTTCACAATCAAGCCTTGCTATATCAGCTGTCAAAATATATAATCACTATGCGGCTATATCAGCTGTCAAAATATATAATGTCAAAATATATAATGACTAACATACTGCTTAGAATCAATCTTACGTTTTCACAATCAAGCCTTGCTATATCAGCTGTCAAAATATATAATGGCTATGCGGCTATATCAGCTATCTATATATATAATGACTAAGATACTGCTTAGAATCAATTGTACATTTTCACAATCAAGCCTTGCTTTATTAGTTGCCCAAATATATAATGACTATGCTGCTATATCAGCTGTCAAAATATATAATGTCAAATTTTATAATGACTAACAATCTGCTTAGAATTAATTATACGTTTGCACAATCAAGCCTTGCTATATCAGCTGTCAAAATATATAATAACTAACATACTGCTTAGAATCAATCTTACGTTTTCACAATCAAGCCTTGCTATATCAGTTGCCAAAATATATAATGACTATGCTGCTATATCAGCTGTCAAAATATATAATGTCAAAATATATAATGTCAAAATATATAATGACTAACATACTGCTTAGAATCAATTATACGTTTGCACAATCAAGCCTTGCTATATCAGCTGTCAAAATATATAATAACTAACATACTGCTTAGAATCAATCGTACGTTTTCACAATCAAACCTTGCTATATCAGTTGTCAAAATATGTAATCACTATGCGGCTATATCAGCTGTCAAAATATATAATGTCAAAATATTTAATGACTAACATACTGCTTAGAATCAATTATACGTTTGCACAATCAAGCCTTGCTATATCAGCTGTCAAAATATATAATAACTAACATACTGCTTAGAATCAATCTTACGTTTTCACAATCAAGCTTTGCTATATCAGCTGTTAAAATATATAATGACTATGCGGCTATATCAGCTATCAAAATATATAATGACTAACATACTGCTTAGAATCAATCGTACATTTTCACAATCAAGCCTTGCTATATCAGTTGCCAAAATATATAATGACTATGCTGCTATATCAGCTGTCAAAATATATAATGTCAAAATATATAATGTCAAAATATTTAATGACTAACATACTGCTTAGAATCAATCATACGTTTTCACAATCAAGCCTTGCTATATCAGCTGTCAAAATATATAATCACTATGCGGCTTAAGTGTGAAGTTGGCTGTGAAAAAATGCAAATTAAGCACCCTGTTGGAAAAAAACGAAATTACTTTCCTAACAACACAGTACATTAAACATTTCTGTCTGAAATTATTTTAACTTTCAAAAGCTTAAATGTTTCATGATTTTGTTTTAGTTTTTCATTTCTATTCTGTACAATGTTGAATATAACATTTTTCCTTCTTTTTTAAAAACATAGCTTTTAAGTAATTTTAATATTTAAACATTTGCTCCAGTTTTTGTATTTCTTTTGTTGCAAGAAGCAGAAGAATTACCAATATCTTCCAATACTTTGTCTATATACTATATCTTCTTTCAGTTACTAATATCTTCCAAAAGCGTTTATTATAGTATCTTTTATTCGCACGATAATTAGACATAAATTTATTCGTACCTGTAAAAAATCAAGAACATTCAGTTACCAATGCAACTTAGAATAATCGCTTTGTTTGGGAATAGGTTTATAGTATCTGAACACCTCGTTTTCACTATTGAAACTTAATCAGAAAAGAATCGAATCTATCAATGAACACCAACAATCCGTGATGAAGGTAATTTCTAGTAATTTCTCTCCAAGGTTACTAGCTTCGTCGGAATCGAAATGCCATCAAGTGTGAAGCTGTAATAAAAAATAAAGAAGTTTATAATTATTTACATACAAACATATAAATATTTGGTACTTTTCCGTTTCGCCGGCGCAAATCTCGCCAAGTAGACTTTATTGGCGACAACATACAGTATACACATAAAATATATTTAAGAAAAGTTAGCTCTAAGAATTCTTTTTTTTTTTTTTTTTTTTTTTTTTTTTTTTTTTTTTTTTTTTTTTGAAGGCATAAGCATTTTAATATCGCTTAAAATTTTATAAAAAGCCAATAAATAAAGACAATAAATTTGTAAAAAGACATTAATTTAAGAATTTACTATGCTTTCATGGTTCAACATCCTGATTCGCCGGTTCATATCACGTGACCCCAAGCGATCTCATCTCACGTAAACTACTCTACAAAAATCTAATGCTCTCAGTAATTATCTGCATTAATTTCAAATTAAATCTTAATTTAGAACACAAGTTTAAATGCAAGAAGTATTTCAATTCGTAGGAATAGCTTACTCAGAAATTATGTAAAACTGCAGTACTTTGCTTCGCTAATGCATTTTCATTAGAATTGATGAATTTAACCCTTGACTTTACCTTTTCTATATTTTCGGCTTCGGGAAAGCGCTGTGATTGCATCCTAATTGAATTAATTACCGAAAATGGCTTAGACATAAAACTGAACTATCTGATAAAAATTCTATGTAATTATATGCCAGTATTGAAAGAAACAATCTGATAAGAAAAAGCTGCGACTTGTTTTGAAAATGAGGTGTAAAAGGTTACCAGGGAGAATATTCCGTTTGGCATCGGTTGTACCATTATTGGCAACTTTATCGCTTGCGCCGGCAAAACGGAAAAGTACCAAATATTTATTTATTCCTCAAATAAAAGTTTAATAAATAACAGACTAAGTTGTCTTTATTTATTCTCTAATTTTGTCAGCTTGGAAGATTTTCTCTGACAATTTAAACAATTTTCATAATTTATTTTTAGTTTAAACTAAAAATAAAGTCAATTATTTAATGCTTAATTAGACATGTTAAAGTTATTAGCTATCAATATATTTAAATAATAAAATGTAACGAACAAAATTGTCTTTTGGTGTCAAATTTTAGATTCAAAACAGAAAAAAATATATATATAAATTTTATTTTTTTTCCTTTTGAGTGTTATTATGATTGTTTATATAGGTTTTAACAAATATTTCATAATGAAATTAAAAATCCGTTTAAAATATGCTTTTTGTTGGTAAAACGTTCTGTTTCTCAAAAGAAAAGTTAGCCTGTCAGTTGTTTTTAGGTCGTGCATTCGTGCAATTTGAGTTTGAGAATTTTGCACTAGGATATGACATTACCCTCTCGGAAGGAGGTTTTCAGGAGCTTAATAGGACATTCGTCATTGTCATGAGATAAGGTTAGTCAAAATTTAAATCCCCACTATATCACATGTACAGTCAATAGGCCTTAGCAATGACATCCTGGGGATATACTGGAATGTGAGCTTTATGCTATAGTAAGGATGCATTTGGAATATTAAGGAGATAAAGCTGATGTTCTGAGCTTAGCCTGTGAGCAACATCTTAAGGACATCCCGAGGAACTTCTGAGCTATGTGGGCTTACTTTATTTCACATAATTTCTCCCACAATTTTAATACATATCAAATAGTCTAGGGGAAGTGAGTTAAAAATTATCTTAATTTAGATATCGACAAACAAATAAAAATCTATTACTTAGCGAATTAAAGAGAAAATTCTGTCGGTTTCTTCAGCTCTGTTAATGTTTCCATATATAAAGAAATTATGAATAATTACCTGTTCGTTATAGGTGGTTGTCCTTACCCCGGTATTCCATCTGAAAGACTGTACCAGTTATTAAAAGAAGGTTATAGAATGCCCAGGCCAGATGACTGTCCTTCGCAATTGTAAGTCAATACTATCTTTACTTATTTGGAGTAATGCTATTTTTAAAATGGATAAAATCCTCTTATACGGCACCACCTTGGCGTGAATTTTAAAATGGTCGCCGGCACCAAAATGGCCTGTTTAAACATATCCGATATGTCACCAGCAGCTAAAATTGCCCAAATCCCGTCTGTGCCGTATGCTAGGATCAGACCCAAAAGTATGCTAAAGCCGTACATAACGTCGTTGGTTTCCATCATAAAACTAAATTCAGCATTATTGCATTGTATATATGCAAATAAAATATCAGTAACAATGTAAAAAGAAAACTGGGTACTATTCGGTTTCGAGGGCCGTAAAAAATCGCCAAACTATTGCTGATGCCAATGCTGCCAAAAATAATTGCTGCAACCCTAATAATTGCGGCAAGAAAGGAAGTATAATAGTAAATAACTATCTAAGGTTGATGTTTTAATTTTTAGTCCAAAGGGATTTGAATCCCGAAGGACTATTAGTTTCGTTTTGGCATTTTGCGTCGGACGGATAAATGTCGGTTCACTTTTCAAACTGTTGCCATAAAATGTTAGAGTCCTGCATTATATTTGAAGAAATTAAATAATGAAAAATCTGCGTAAATGTATGTATATTTCTCACATTGTCATAAAATAACGGTACATAGAGTCATCGAATTTTGAATAACGTAATCCTCCAACGAATATGAGCATGTGGAAGACCAAATTTGAAATTTGTTTTATGATCGATTTCCTATTTTTTAAAACTTTGACGAATTTTTGATTAACAAACTCAAGGATTTCAAAGCGAGCAATGGCAAACGTTGTGCAGAAAAAAACATTTTTATCTCCAGCGCGTGAGTCTCTGTATCGGAAATTCTAAAGATATGCTCGTTTTAAAAAACTATTTTGCGATATTGCTGTTGCACTGGATCTTATGGTTTAAGTGCGAGGAACATGATATTTAATAAAGAAAGGTAACACACAAAATGTTAAAAAACGCCCCTTTGGACGTAATTTAAAATCTGAAACATTTCAGATTTTTTTTTTTATTATTATTATAATTTATATAAAAGGCTAAACATGACTGAATGGAAGCATAATAGTAAATAACTATTTCAGATCTATTTATTATAATTTATATAAAAATTGCTAAACATAACTGAATGGATGCCTGCATTGCTATTTCGCTACCGACTTATCGCTAAAGCATAATTTCATCTCGTTGGTTGTTCAAACGTAAGTTTTTATAATGAATGATGCTTTTTCTTTGAAAATATTCTCCGTAAAGTGCAGAATCGCTCACTTATTTGTTTGCCGCTTTTTACAAGGGTAAAAACAATTGTATTTTTGTCAATTTTCTTTTACTTGTTAAGTGAAAATAAGTCGATATGTACATAGATAAAGTCAAGGGTGTACGCAGCCATTTTTGTGCAATTCTAGAATTTTTTTTAAGTGAAAATAGGTCGTTGCCCTCACCGGGACTCGACCCTGGACCTCTCGAATGCTTCCCAAGCGTGCTACCGTTACACCACAATGGCATACAGAAAAGGAGGAAGAAAATATCTTATATACTCCTCCTTTAAAGAGTGACTGGGGATTAGGCGACCGAATCGCCAAATTCTGGTAGTGAAGAATGACTATACACCACCTTTTAGTTCGGGCGCCACTGTAGAGTCATTACGTTATTTTGATGCTGGAGACTTGGAAAATGTGCAATGCCCTTGCCGAGATTCGAACCTGGACCTCTCGAATACGCGGAGAGTGTGCTACTGTTACACCACGAAGGCATACGCAAAGGAAGTAGAAAACACCTTATAGACTAGTTTTATTCACTGAGGGAAGGTATAAAGAATTTTAGCTAATTTTACTCATCTAAGGTGAACGCTGATAGATGTCACGTCATGATGATTAAATTTCTTTAATAAAGGAATATTCGCAACATAACAAACTTATCGCAAAGTATCTTTCAGTCATAATTCAATGATATATGAACTATTATAATGTAAAGTTATCTTCAGACAGTTTATTCAGGATGCATTTGGATAACAAGCAATCCAGTTAGCAGTCACAACTCTGGTGAAAACTGCTTGCGCGGAATTTTGATGAAAATGAATTTGTATTGACTGGACTGAATGGCTATGAATGGGACTAAATGATATATTCATTAAACTTCTTAATTTAATTTATGAAAATGAAACCTGTTCTGGATATATATTTGAAGAGACTGCATTATTCGTCATAGAGTTATCCGCAGATGTCTTTTGAATGCAAACTTCTGGCTTATTAAGGTACTAGTTGGCTGTAATTTTATATTATAGTTAACATTCATGTACTAAAGATACTTTTGGAATGAAGCATAAGGTACAAAAAATATGTAGTATAGTCAAAGCTCAATAATTAATTAATTGATTAATTGTAAGCTCAATAATTAATTGATTGATTTTTTAGCACCAGAGGCTGCTATTAGTACCGAAACACACTTTTTACTTCCTAATACGAAGTAAAGGAAGGAATGTAATTGAGAAAACTTTCGGGTATCATATTCCAACAAAAATATCCGTTCCGACCGCGCTCTCAAATCCATTTGAACGATGCGTTCTCGTGATATTTGTATGTATGGTTAAAATAAAGAACACGTTTTCCCAAATCTGATTAAAAAAGGATTTAAAATGGATTCAGAAGAAATTTTTTCGTGACATATGTACGTACATATGTATCTCGCATAACTCAAAAATTAGTAGCCGTAGAACGCTGAAATTTTGTGTATGGGACACCTATAGCATACAGTTGGGCCCTACATTTTTTGTTTCAGTCGGCATCACCAAACGTGTATACATATATATATATACACCCAATAATTTACCCGATACAATGAGCTCTGTATTTTTATACACTTTTATATTGGTAAATTGTACATTTTTCATTTTAAAAGTGATTTAATTACATTGTTGTTATGTTTAGTTACAATTTCTATTCCATTAGTTAATCTGCATGCAATAGTTGTAAAATTATCAACAATTTGAAAGCTTTTTAAGTGGTATTAAGCCTAACGAAGCAACATTCGAAACTCTTAGTAGAATAATGAATTAAGACAGTTTCCTCACTTTGAGGGTCTATTTGCCGAGCGAGGACAAAAGTAAACTTCCAGTTTTGTGCACCGCAAAATCAACCTTCTTGCCCGCTGGTTGCTTACATGTCTTTGCTTAAAAACTCTAATTTTAATTTTAAAGATTGTTTTAACTGTTTTTTTTTTTTTTTTTTTTTTTTTATATTTTTTTTTTTTCTGCATTTTTCAATTTTTAATGAAGAGGGTTTGAGGTTTATGCATTTTCGCTTTGCCGCGAAAGAAGATCAGAATTAATTTAATGAGAAGTATATTTCTAATGAAATTCGTGGAAATAAGTTTGAATGAAATGCGGGAAAAAATGTGTATGATTTATTAGACAGTACAAGGAATTCATATGGGGTTAAAGTCAGATTTTTTTTATTACTTTTTTGTCTGCATCACTTTTCAAAGCTTTGCTAACAAATAATATCATCATGTATTATTAAAAAAAAATTAAATAGGGAAGAATCTGTTTGTATGCATGCAAGTTCTTTGAACGATTTTTAATACACGCAGTCCTCCATCCGAACATAGGACCTCGAAGCGCGAAATTTTTGTTTTCGAATTGGTTTTTGATTATTTTATGCTGTATGATGGTGTTGGTGTATTTAATTATGGCAAAGCACACGAGGGCTATCTGCCTAAAGGGAGGGATGCCTTTCGTGGAGGGCTTTCTAAGGGAAACTGGCTCGTATATACGTTACACATGGGGAAAACTACGAAAACGCCCATGCAGCCAGCCCGTTCGCGGGATTCGAACCTCAGACCGAACTACCAGGTTCAGCGTCTTTACCGCTCGGCCGCTGGTGGGCTTATGCTGTATGAGAATTTAAGACGACGTACAGGACAAAATGCAGAGAAAAAGGATGTTCTTTATTTTAAAACATATCCGACACCAGTGTCAGACATCCTTCATACACCTTAAACGTTTCATGATCTTCGAATACGTGACTGCATAATATAGCTGCTTTAGAAACAAGCAACCAGAAAGTTTGTGTTGCCACAAATATTTTTATAATTTAATCCTCTTTGTGACAAAATATTTCGCCATGTTTCCGCCTTGCTCGCATGATATTTTAAAAATGGCTAATGGTACATACTTGAAATTGGATGTAATTCTTTATATGGGCACTATTTTCTAACTGAACCAACAATCTGATGAATATTTTAATATTGAAAAATTTTATTGACGAAAACATTACAAATTTTGTTAATAAAATACATTTTTTAAACTCAACTCAAAATAAAATAAAAACTTAACATGAAATTTTTTGAATTTTAGGTTCACGGTAGTTTTCCAAATGTTATAAAAGCTATATATTAAATATGGAATTAAATTATGCAACAGAATGTTTTAAACTGTGCGCGCAAGTTGGAAACATGACGTGACGCATAAAAAATGTTGTCGCAAAGCGGATTAAATTATAAAAATATTTGTGGCAACACAAACTTTCTGATTACTATTTCAGAAACAGCTATATTATGTAGTCATCTGTAAAAGGTTGGTAGTAATTGCTTTTAAAATAAATAAGTTATCCCAATTCTCGCTACAGTCACCTATTCGAACATCTTATGGGTTTTAAGGTGTATGAGTCCCCTTAAACGTTCAGAGAAAATTAGTGTTCATGAAGAAATGGAGCAAACTTGGATGGATGCAGATAATTGAATTCTCATCGCACTCTCTGAAAGCCAATCTGTGAAGAGCACTCTCAACAATTGGGTATGCACCGGAAACGAGAAATGTGAAGAAAATGAGGCATGGTAAAGATGAAGCCAGCATGCAGAGAAAGAAACTTACACGGAAGGAAGCTGACGAAGCAATGCGATTGATTTCCCGAGAAATGTTTTTGGGTGTCAGTCATGATGTTGTGAAAGTGGATTGTAAATACAGAGAAATTTTGAATTTCGGTGACAATCCTATAAACAAACACACATTCGCAGTTATGCGCCATCATACTAAAAAACTCCTAATTTTTATGCGGTAATAAATATGGTAATCTTAAAATGTTTAATTTTTGTTTTTCTAGAATATATTATTTATATATTATTTTGTAATAGGTACAAGATAATGACCTCATGCTGGAAAGAAAATCCTAACGAAAGGCCTCATTTCAAGGAACTCGTACAGAAACTGGATAACTTACTAAATGATTCGACCGTAAGTAAATGAAATAAAACCAATTTCAGATTAATTAAGCCATTTAAATAATTGACTTAGTGTACAATAAAAAATAATAATAAAGTCAAAGCTGTTTGCACGAGAAAATGCATAATTTCGTAACATTGAAATTATTAGCGTATTTGGGATTTATGTAACTTACTTAACACGTAATTTCTATTTTGAAGCAACCTTTCATAATGCTTTTGCTTTCAACGTAGGCCTTTCTTACTAGAATCTAAATGAGTTAGCAGGCGTGCATTCAAATGACCTAGAAAAAGTTAGTATTTATGGGAAGGCTTTGGAAGACGAGTTTAGAACGTGTTCTGCTTGCCTGAAAGCCACGTTGTTATCTTTGCGTTATTAGCAGTTACATTTCTGTGGCTTTGAACTCTTCTTGCCATTAGGTTTGTTTAGGGCGAATTTACGAGTCAGAACCTGCTTGTGCGTTAAGTAACCTGTGAAAATTCGTTAAGCTAGGTTTTTCCATTTAATTTTAAGCGGACTCGTAAACTTTAAAACCCATAAGATCTTCGAATAAGTGACTGTTGCAAGAATTCAGATAACTTATTTATTTTAAAAGCAATTACTTCCCACTTTTTATAGCTGACTACATAATAGCTGACTTTTTATATGTGACTGTTGCAAGAATTGGGATAACTTATTTATTTTAGAAGCAATTACTACAAACTTTTTACAGCTGACTACATAATATAGCTGCTTTCTGAAATAGTGATCAGAAAGTTTGTGTTGCCACAAATATTTTTATAATTTAATCCGCTTTTTGACAACATTTTTCGTCATGTTTCCACCTTGCGCGCACAGTTTAAAACATTCTGTTGCATAATTTAATTCCATATTTAATATACAGCTTTTATAACATTTAAAAACTACTGTGAACCAAAAATTCTAAGAATTTCATGTTAAACTTTTATTCTATTTGGAGTCGAGTTTATAAAATGTATTTTATTAAAAAAATCTGTAATGTTTTCGACCATAAAATTTTTTAATATTAAAATATTCATCAGATTTTCGGTTCAGTTAAAAAATAGGGGTCATATAAAGAATTCCATCCAATTTCAAGTATGTACCATTAGCCATTTTCAAAATATCGTGCGCGCAAGTTGGAAACGTGGCGAAACTTTTTGTCACAAAGCGGATTAAATTACAAAAATATTTGTGGCAACACAAACTTTCTGGTTACTAGTTTTCAAAGCAGCTATATTATCTAGTCAGCTGTAAAAGTTGGAAGTAATTGATTTTAAAATAAATAAAATATCCCAATTCTTGCAAAAGTCACATATTCGAAGGGTGTTAAGGGGTTTAAGGTGTATGAGTCCCCTTAAATTATTCGTTATCTTTTAAGCCAAAAGTGTCTTTATCTGTTAAGCCAAAAGTGTCGGATTTTGTAAGCACGAGTCGGAGCCACCTCTGAATCATAACTGAATTACTAAAGGGATCTTTACACCTTCTTTGGACTTTGTAATAGTTAAGACCTAGGGATAATTTCCTACAGAGTCTTTTAACGTCTAGTTAGTTTATGCTACCAAAGAATACGAGAACTTATAAGCGTAATTTTGTAATAACAGTATAACTAAATCGTTAAGCAGTTACACACAATTATCTGCAATAATAAACGTCATAAGCTTAAATTGTAACTTCGTGACTGTCAACAGCTTAAATGGTAAAAACAGATTAATTTTTGCGCTAAATGTTACACAGATTTTAGAAGTCATTGTATGAATATTAAACTCAGTTGATTGTTTAATTATAGTATTATAAAACTAAATTCATTAATAAATTGTATAATTTTAGTTTTAATAGTGGTTAATTTAGAGATTTCAGCAAATTTCACTTTACATAAACTATGCGGTACAAATATTTGCATACAAAGTCATGATCAAAATAAAATCCTTCCGCAATTGAAAGAGTTTACGAGACTGATATGCAATTATAGAACCGTTCAACTATGGGTTACGCAAATCAATTAGCATCTTGCGTAAATGTTTTTATTGTATATCAGTTGAGAATTTTATTCATAAATACCACAGAATTAGTTTTAGATACCTATGCATTAATTTAGAAGTCAAACAAAAAAAATCAGCGTTATATTTTCAAATTTTCACAGGACTAGTTTCGATGGTTTTACCGAACCATCATCCTCAGCTGCTTTTTTCTTTTTTTTTAAATAAGAAAGGTTGGACAGGAGATAAGCCACTGGCGCCATCTGTTGATGAAACCAGAACTAAAACATAATTTCTTTAAAGGCTAAAGAACAGAAAGATTTTTTTTAATAAATCGTTGATGGTTCGGTAAAACCCATCGAAACTAGTCCTGTGAAAATTTGAAAATATAACGCTGATTTTGTTGTCTGACTTCTAAATTAATATTTGATCGGCGTGTTATTGTATCTTAATTATACCTATGCCGGTTTACGAATCAATTTATTTTACCAAAAGAAACACTTTACACTTCTGGAATTTTCCACAAAGGAATTCGTACAGCAGTTCGCATCAGAGAGCAAAACCGGTAGTTACACTTCAGACTACTAAGAACGCTAAACACAACACAATGCAAAGCGCATCTAAAAGGCGGAGCTCTCGCGGAAATCTGAATATTTCGATTTCAGCTCTGAAGAAACAAAAGCGAAATGCTCTCTCCGGTCTTATATAGCTTTGCCCCAGCCGCCTAGAAATCTCTAGAACCTTCCACTTCTCGAAATTACTCCAAGGCATATCAGGTCCGGATACGATTACCGTTACGCATCTAGATTAATTCAATTTTTTCAATCATACTACCAATCACGGTTATACATGGAACGGTCCAAAATGACGTCACCAAATTTGGCGACTTTTGATGACATCTCGCCAATTTAGCGAGATCACCATTTACTCAATGTTAAATAGAGTTACCTCTCTATTCTTACTTTTTCGGCAAAATCTCGCTTCTTCAGATTTTCATGTTACATTATACAGGAAAAAAAAAATACTATGATTTCACGTGTAATTTCGCTAAAATTATTTACATTTTTACAAAATTCTTATCAATATTAAACTAAGATATTAAATAATTTAGATGTTCTAATAATTTAACAATTGAGAGATTTTAAATTGAGGTGTTAAATATTATATATCTTTTGATTAAAGATGCTTTGCATGAATTATGACTTCAAAAATTCAAGGAGACTTTTTTTTTTTTCTTTCTAGCATTACCTTCCTCTCACTGATGACAACTGCCAACCTTTTTGCAAAAGACCGAGAGGAAGAGGTAAGTTCATTCGTTTAAACACAGATATAGGCTTAAAATATTCCCAAACTTGCAAATCTACGCGGCGTTGCGGTTTGGGTGACGTATTTTCCTCTTCTAATATCATTTAATAATCTTAAGCGCTAAGTGAGCTATAGAAGAATTATTAATGAAAAAGCTTTGAGAATTTTCGAAAAAATTATTCATTCGTTGATATACCAGTTGAGCTGAAGATGTGTTTTGAGGCCCTTTAATTAGGTAGTTTATTACGAATTTTTTCATAAACTTCAGAACACCGGAATAATAGTCTTTCTTAGGACTTTAGCCAGCTGACAAAACTCGCTAGTTCTTGGTAGTGTAGCATCTAAAACAACCTGTTCTTTTTATCCCAAAAGGAACAGGTGACAGGTGACGGAGGACGGGGACGCCTGAAGTTTAACAGATGTTAACAGGCATATATCCCGCGTCCTGCCTTGGAGTTTATTTAATAATTAAAAGTGTGGATACATGGCCATACAGGGGCAACTGTTGAACATATGGTATTTGAAGTACATTTGAATTAACTTGTTGATACAGGCACGGTTTAAAAAAAAAAAAAAAAAAAAAAACCCACTTATAACAAAAGAAGAAAATTAAACACCTAAATATATAACATAAAACACGTAATAAATACGAGCACAAAACACTTAGGATCACATGACATAAATCACTTAAAAACACATAAGGCATACATAGAGCACAGTATCATTAAAAATTACGGTACAGATAAGCGTGAAGTATAAAACAAAGGAACATAGGGAATGGTACTTATATTGCAGATTCATTTCATGATCCCAAAAGAAACATTAGTCCAGAATGGGATTAGTTCTAGAAAGGGCGTTTTGCGTTGAATCACTGTAAACGACGTATCACTTTTCACACTGTTGCCGCCAAATATTGTCACCCAAGATTACATTTACAGAAATTAAATAATGAAGAATCTTTATGCATATATTCATGTTTCTCTCATCGTGAAAAAACGACGGTGCCTTTGTAGACACATTAGGGTATTTGGAAGCAGAAGACGTGACAAATAAGCAGTGCCCTTGCTGGGACTCGAACCACAGACTTCTCGAATTCGCGTCGAGCTTGCTGACCACTACACTATGAAGTCATGCTAAGAAGGGGGAGAAATACCTTATATACACCCACTTTTAAAGGGCGAATGGGGTATTAGGAGACCCAATCGCCAAATACTTGTGGCAAAGAATCATCATACACAATCGTTTAGTTCGAGCGCCACTGTAGAGCCATTCGGTAATTTTGGAAACAGGAAAGATGAAAAATGAGCAACGCCCTCGCCGAAAATCGAACCACGGACCACTGGAATACCCTCCCAGCGTGCTGACAACTACACCACGAAGGCATGCTAAGAAGACGAGAGAAATACCTTATACCTTGAGACATTTAATTTTCGATAACGTTGTCCTCAACCCTGAGCATGCCCAACTGGAAGCCAGAATTTTGAATTCCAAATTTGTTTTATTATCTATTTTATATTTTGTATAACTTAAACAAGTTTTTATCAACAAACTCAATTATTTCAAAGCTGTGGCAACACTGCACCGAGAAAAACATGTCTATCGCAGGCGCGCGAGACTATGCACCGTAAATTCCAAAGATATGCTGTTTTTAAATACTTTGCTATTTTACTGTAGGGTCGAATTTTATGAGGTGTAAGCATCAAGAACGTGATATTTAATAAATAAAGTAAACACACACAACGTTAACAATAAAAAGAGGAAAAAATTTTGTAAAACAATCTTAGTAAGAAAACTGAACATTGATATGACGAACTGAGAAAAAACCGAAAATGTATACCAACAATTAACGCTGCATAGGGAATTCTAAATATATACTGCTGTGCTGCTTTTAAAATTTTTGGAAGTTGGGTGTTTAATAGTGATGGGAAACTTCGGTACATTCTTGTACCCGGTACGAGAGTAACGGGTACAGACAAGTACCCGGTACAAATATCCGTTACTCAAGTAACCGTTACTTTGAAAAGTACCGAAAACCGATTTCAAGTACCGAGTACCCAAGTAACAATTTGGAGTACCGAAGTAACGAAATACCGGAGTAACGGTTTTCTGTACCGGAGTACCCTATTAACGGTTTACTGTACGGAGTATCCTAGTAACGGTTACTGTACCGGAGTACCCTAGTAACGATTTGGGAGTACCGAAGTACCTTAGTAACGATTGGAGTACCAAGTACCCTAGTATGATTTGCAGTACGAAGTGCCCTAGTAACGATTTGGAGTACCGAAATACGCAGCTAATGATTTTGCGCACTGAAGGAACTTGCCCGTCACAGTGTTTGATTTTATCTGTACGGAGTAAGATTGAATATCAGAAAACATGTCAACTACGGAAGTGTCCTGATAGCAGGGACCATCATGGACACAGGAGCCATATCACCATTTCGCAAATACAACATATCTACTGTCCTGTACAAAACCGAAGTGAGCTGAACCCTATCGATCCTCAGTAACGAATACCGAAATACCGAGAAGAGACGCATATTTTCGTTACAAGTAACGAATACTGAAAAAGCCCCGTTCGGTAGAAGTAACGAATACCGAAAGTACCCGTTTCGGTACAGAGTAACGAATACCAAAAGTATCCGTTTCGGTACAGAAGTAACGATACGAAAAATGCCCGTTTCGGTACAGAAATAACGAATACTCGATTCGGTACTGAAGTAACGGTACTGGATGTACGATTTTCAGTACCGTTCAACTAAGTACCGTTACAAAATACCCGGTTCGGTAGTACCGACTCATCACTAGTGTTCAAATGTATATGGCGTATTAAGTAGGAAGAAATAAGTAGGAAGAAAGTGATTCTCAATAATAAATCTAAAGCTAAAAAGACAAAAAAAAAAAAAAAAAAAAAAAAAGGTTTACAGGAGTGAGTGTAACAGTAGACTAGACTGCGAACTCAGCGAGAGAGTGAAAGATCTAAACAATACCGTTTTGGGCGACCGTTATAATATGAAACATTTCAGATTGTTTTTTTAAGGTTTAAAATTCCATTAGAACAATTTAGCATTAGTTTTGAAAATGCACATTGTTATTAAGCTTTTGAAAATGATGGAATTTATAACTTTTAATCATTTAAATAAAAAAAAATTTCCGGCCGTATATTAAATAAGCTGGAATAAACATACTGAAAGGGGGGAAAAGCATTTTATTTGATATAAGATAACTGGTATCAGCTATTAACCTATGAATTACGCGTAATTCAATAACCTGTAAGGATTATCTTAATTTATCTAACAGTTAATTTTAGTTGTAGCTACTTCCCTTTACTTCCTAATTTCAGCTTACAATTTTCCTAACAGAACGTGTTTTTAGAATCGCGTTTAAGGCGAATGGGGAAGAGTAGTATTTAAGTTCCACTGACTTCGAGAGAGAGTCTCAGAGTTTCTGATTAGCGCGCGTTCGCCTCTTGGCTAACTGTCTCTAAGCTGTTCGGTTTTATTACAGGCCCTTGACAGCCTCGTTAGCTTATTCGATATTTAGGGGCCAACCACTTAGAATTTTGATAGCTTCCGCTATATCTTTTTAGTTAAGCATTAGTTAAGTCTTACTTCTTATTAGTTTGAGTTCAAGTGGAGGCTTTTCTGTACGCCCTGAGAAAGAGGCCATCTGTTTAATTCTTATATTGGGAAATAAAGAGAAATTCATCCTTCTTGAATTTACGTCTCTGTTCCTGAACTAAAGAGATAATTCGCTTAGCTGTTCACTAGGTTCCTGCACATTTAGCTGTTAGGTAAAACGGTGAAACCCCACAAACTTATAACCTATAAACTAGCAGAAAATATTGAAAGGACATTGCAACGTTTAATTCAAGTGAACTTTGCATAATATCTTGATATACATTTACAACGTTTATCTTTGCAGCGGAAGAAGCGTCTCTGATGCAACAGCTGACGTTTCCGAAAATGAGTGTCGTCCAGATCGGACCTTACGAGAACCGACATCTGCTATCGCCAACAGAGTTCAATGTGTAAGACAAGGTCAAGTGACCGTCAGCCTTCCTTAAAAATTGTTTGCATTATATTCCCTGCAAGTGCTTTCAAACGATCTAGAACATTCTTCGAAGACTACTGTTTGAAATCCAAGGCATGTATTTATGTATGATATGTTTGTATCAAGAAATATTATGTTTCGATTGAGTAACCTGTGATCAGAATTTTACGCCATCAAATGTTTAAAATGCTGCGAGAAAAACAGGCTAAAGCAAAAATACAAATGTGATTTAAAGCACGTAGAAGCTTCTCAGAATTTTATAAACTAATCCAATTTAAATTTAGTAGAATAAAGTGTAACTTCCCCCGGGTAAAACAAAAATTTCTTTATTCACTGAATTCACACCTAATAATTCTTTTAGAAGATCACATAAATATAAATTTCGTAATTTAGAAGGTACATTAAGTTATCATTAATTACTTAATAATTAAATAAAGAAAATGGAAACACAAATTTTAAATAATTTGGTAAATTTGGTAAATTATCATTTGATAAATATCATTTGGTAAATCATTTGGTAAATTATCATTTGGTAAATTTGGTAAATTATCATTTGATAAATATCATTTGGTAAATTTGATAAATTATCATTTGATAAATATCATTTGGTAAATTTTTAAATATAGATGCTACGTATTAAATAGCACTTTGCACATATATGTATTTTTGATGCTTTTAAAATAAAGGATTACCTAAAAAAGTAGTCTTTAAAAGTATGCAAAAATAAAAAGAAAAGTTACCTATGTCGCATACAAGAGAAACGAGACTCGGTATATAATATTCAAATGCAAATATTTTCAATAATACTTCCCTGAATATTATATTACTTTTCATTCAATACCTTCATTCTTGTAATTGAATTATATTTACTCATTTTAATAGATAGTAGTTTCTTATTTGGAAAACATCTTTGAATAAATTTTTGGGGGCTAAAATTGTAATATGTTTAAAATTATTTTTCTTGGTACGTCATTTAATTTGAGGGACTTTAACTCTCCATCTTTCATGGATATTAAAGCTCACAGGAATGTATTCATAATTCTCATTTTGGCCTTATCAGACTTATGATTACAAAATGCAATAAGAAACTTTTCCCAGAAATGCGTTGCTGTGAGAAATATGAAGAGCGAACTTTCAGTAGTAGTCATAACTTTCATTTGATCGGCTGACTTTTGATCACTTGAGAACTTCCAGTGCGATTTTGTCCCCAGCATCGTAAAACATTGCGGGTAGATATGCGAAATAAATGAGAGAAAGAAATATTTCACCCAAATTCGAGTGTATTAGCTTGCCTTTTAAATTAGTTCTGGGAGAACCCCTTTTCTTTAAAAAGTTTCTTTTTGGCTTTCGCAACTGTCTGTCTGATAAGGCCATTACTGACTTCTGTTACTTGACGAATCTCAAGTATCATCATAGCCAAGGTGGTTCTAAACTTCTCGTTCTAATTTCACTTACCATTCTATAAATATTAATGATTTCAAATTTTAAAGATAAATCATTATAGTAAGTAATGATCATAGGTTAAATTGTTTTGATAGTAACTGTTTATTCACTTATACGCATAATTTTTGTGTCCTAGTAACCTACGTCAAGTTATTTACGAATGTGATCTGGAAATTCTCATCTTATTAACAACTCAGATCTAAAATTTCGTATCATATAAATCTTCTTTTCGTTATAAATCTTTTTTCTTTTATTTCTTTTCTTCTTTTCTTTTAATCTTCTTTACTTCTTTTCAAAAAGGAGAAATTTTTTTCAGCTCCAATCATTCTGATATTTGTTTTGATTTGTGTTGATTTACGGCCAAATGCGTTTAAAATACCAAAATATAAATCTTAATAATTGCATTTATAATTGTATATTAATCATAGATAATTATAACATTATGTTTTAAATATATTAATCATAAGTTATTTAAGCCAGAATTGATATTTGCCTTCAGTTCCAGTCTATGCTATGTTTTATATAATGCGTATCATACAATATTTATGATTTGCAAGTCACACAATTCAAGTTGTTGAAATAAAAATCCATAGTTAAAATATAAAAGCTAGAAAAACAACTTATTTCTTCTTTTATGCTATATAATAATATGGTACTAGTTACCATATTGCTGTAGCAAGATTTACTATTATTAGTCATTAAAAATTTAATGCAAAGTAATTAAGTAATTAAAGCCAAATTGAACGTCTCAATTTGCTAATTATGGTATGGATTTTTTTAACATTATTAATTCTGACTATTTTAATTGAGAGTTGCTAATTTAACCAATTTTTAAGTATAAATATGAAGATAAAAATTATGAAGGAAAATTAAATTAGCAGCTTCTTTTGGAAAAAAAAAGAACAATCAAAAAATATTATATTATTTGATTTATTTTTATTTTTAGAAATATCAGAAATGGAAAAATATAAAAATATGATTATATAGAATTGAGATGCTTCAAGAAATATGATAAATTCTGAGAATTAAAGACACTATTTATGGTGATTCAAAAATCTAGAATGTTTGACTTGCAATGTGTGGAAACTGTTAATATCAATTTACGTAGAGAAATATTTCATCATCATAGTTATATTTTATAATCTATTAATTTTCTTGATATGTTACCCATAGTATAAACAGAAAGAAAAATATTATTGCAATATTAAGTACTCAGAAATCTGCTCGGTTCATCGCTTTTTATACAAGCAAAATACGCTAATAAAAATAACGACATAAAAGAAGAAATACATGTTGTTTTTCTAGCTTTTATATTTTAACTATGGATTTTTATTTCAACAACTTGAATTGTGTGACTTGCAAATCATAAATATTGTATGATAAAATTGCGATAGTGGAGATATTTTCTACATGATTATTATTTTTATGCTTATATTAACAAAATATTGTTTCATTTTAGCAACATGTATGAATTAAATAGAATGATAAATATATATTTAAATTTTTTTTAAATGCTTATAACTATTACCTACATTCTATTAAATTTATTTTAGTAATAATTTAACTACTGCGTATTATTTAATGCAGTTTATTTGTGTTAATATCATTTTCGTGATTTATCAACATCCATTCCAAAATGTAATAATGCTTCGAAAGTGAAATTTTATACAAAATATAAATACTTTCCATAATTTCCAAGATCTTAATTGTTGAAAAGTATAACTTAGTTGCTAATTTAACCAATTTTTAAGTATAAATATGAAGATAAAAATTATGAAGGAAAATTAAATTAGCAGCTTCTTTTGATAGCAAAAAAAGAACAATCAAAAAATTATTATATTATTTGATTTATTTTTATTTTTAGAAATATCAGAAATGGAAAATATAAAAATATGATTATATAGAATTGAGATGCTTCAAGAAATATGATAAATTCTGAGAATTAAGGACACTATTTATGGTGATTCAAAAATCTAGAATGTCCTCTTATTTCTTAAGTAGTTATAGAAGTCGAAGTAAAATGTTACGTATGTGTGAAAATTACCTGTTAATGAGCATTATAGTCATAATCTTGAACATGAATGTCTGGTTTTCGCTAATTCTGCAATTCTCATCTTGTTTTGCTTGATGCACTTATCTCATCATTGCCTAGAAGATCAGTCTCCCTCTTCCGAAACACGAAAAATGCATATAAATGTATTTAGATCTAAACTACTTTTTAACTGCATATCAAGTGGAGACGTTCTTGATTGCATTCCCCCCTCTCCTGTTGAGAGGTCTTGTGAAAAGGTTTTGAAACGGGTAAGAGAGCAAGAAGGGCATAAAGTAGAATTTTCCTACAAATCCCCCTAAAGCACTGTTTGGTAATTTATATCTTTCATCTTTAAAAACGCATTGACTTATGATATTGATCCAAATGGATCGTTGATGATGTGTTACTTTGTGTGATTTCACAAGTTACTGAAATCAAAAAAAGATTTAACCTTTACTTGCGAATGGTAAAAAAAGCCTCAGCTTATTTACATTCATTTTTTAATCTTCACTATCGCAAAGATAATACTACTCACAATGCTGAAACAAAATTACTATTATTAGTTACCATATTGCTGTAGCAAGATTTACTATTATTAGTCATCAAAAAATTTAATGTGAAGTAATTAAGTAATTAAAACACCAAACTGAAAGTCTCAATTTGCTAATTATGGTATGGATTTCTTAACATTATTAATTCTGACTATCTTAATTTGATAATCATAATGCAGATACTTTACCATTATTAATTCAGATGATCTTAATCTGGTAATCATGGTAAACATTCTTTACCATTATTAATTTCGACTATCTCAATTTCATAATCAGGATACAGATATTTTACCATTATTAATTTCGATGGTCTCAATTTGGTCATCATGGTAAAGATTTTTCACCATTATTAATTTCAACTTTCTCAATTTGATAGTCACGGTACAGATTTCTTGCCATTAATAGTTTTATGATCTCAATTTGGTAATCATGGTACAAATATGTTACTACTGTTAATTTCCATTATAATCATGGTACAGATATTTTACCATTGTTAATTACGATGATCTCAGTTTGTTAATCATGGCATTTATTTTTTACCGTTATTAATTTCCACTATCTGAATTTGGTAATCAGGATATATATATATATATATGTTTTACCATTAATTTCGATTATTTCAGTTCGAAATCTAAATTTAGAGAGCATTGCAATTTGCATTGCTATAGAGCAAGTCACATTTAAAATTCCGGACAAGATTTAAGTTCGAACGTCTTAAAGAAAGTCGAACGTTGACATGATGCTCATATACCTCAACAAGTAGTGTTCTCTGGTCACACCCCATAAGCAAAATTTGACTCCAGTTTATGTTAAGCTTCTTCTAATGGTCAGTGGTAAGTGTTCCTAGACTTTTGAATTACCCCGAATGTTTTCTGCAAAGTTTTAAAGAATGTTGAAGATACGAAATTCTCTTCAGCTGGTCATTTAAATTTATTTTGAATTTAAAAGTAGGCTTATGAAAAGGAAACAGCAGTCTGGGTTTAAAATTATCTTGATATGTAAATTAATGCCTTTGATTATGATATGATTTTAACTATGCTTGATTTTCACCATTGTTTCATTCTCAATATCAGATACTGCCTGAGTTTCGAGCTAGTCGTGCTGTTTGAACTTCGTTAAATGTTATGTTGTAAATCATATTTATTTTTTTACATATTTTTAGTGTAAGCATTACTATGGTATATATTCATTTTTATTTTATACTTTATGTAAAGTACTAATTGTTGCATTCTGTGATTTATCAGTGTTGTAAATGAACTTTTAATATATTATTTTTAAATGTGTCACTG